ATCCTGACTCACCAGTATCTTATAGTGTATTACTTTTTTTTCTTTGGTTTGATCAGACTGGTAGAAGGGGCCAGCCTTGTACTGGTAGCTTATTGTCACAAGTTGACCATGCACTTACAACTAAGAGGATATTAGAAAACGCTTGCTGTTGCTTTTGTTCTAGGAGGCTAAATTAAAGTCCAGAGAAGGGCGACAGATGCTCAGAGGGTTGGAGCACCTTTCCTATGAAGACAGGCTGAGAGAGTTTGGGCTGTTCAGCTTGGAGAAGAGAAGGCTCCAGGGAGACCTTATAGTGGCCTGCTAGTGCCTGAAGGGACTACAGGAAAGCTGGGGAGGGGCTTTTTACAAGGGTTTGTAGTGAGAGGACAAGGCATAATGGATCAAAACTGGAAGACAGTAGATTTAGGTTAGACATTAGGAGGAAATTGTTCAGCATGAGGGTGGCAAGACACAGGAACAGGTTGCTCAGGGAAGTTGCGGAAGCCCTATCCCTGGAAGTGTTAAAGAATTGGTGGATGGGTCCCTGAGCAACCTAATCTAATGGGAGGTGTCCCTGCCCATGCAGGGGGGTTGGAACTAGATGGTCTTTAAGCCCCCTTCCAACCCAAACCATTCTATAATTCTATGAAATGTCCCTTTAAATGGGTGTCAAAAACTAATAGGTGTGTGCTGTCCACGTGGGTCTATAGAGTGGCATTTTATAGAAGTAGTTTTATGTCTCAGTTTTCAGGTATTCTTGGTTATATCTAGTTCAAACAGTGAACTACTTTCAGACATAGGAAAAAGAAAGTCCAACTTCTATGCAGCTAAACCCCAATATTCATTAAGCAAAGTATTTCCACTTGGAATGTATTAGTGTTGGAACAGTTTCGGTTCGGCTGAAGCTTTTTTAAGTATTTCTCAGCTCTTCAGAAAAAAAATTGTGATCAGTCTTTCTAAAGACAGCATTCCAAAGGCAAGTTAAAATTCCATAATAAGACACAGAGCATGATAGAAAGGGCTTAGTGTTTTTCCATAATCTTTTTGGAGTTAGACTGGCATTAAAAATCACCTGTGTTATATTGATATTCCTTGAATTTTTTCACTAGCAGGCCTTTCTGAAATATGTAAGTAGACCCTTATTTGCCCATGAAAGCTTAAAAGTGGTCAACTATTCAGGAAATAACTGATTTAACTTGCTGATGAGTAGGTATGTCAGTTCTCTGGAGAAGTGACATAACCCTTTTTTTCAGTCAACAGCTGAGAAAAATTAGTTTTAGAAAAATAGTTTATTTTTGCAGTGCCCAGGAAATCTGCAGGAGCATTGTTACAGACTTCAGTAGCATGGAGAAGACCTTTCTGGTAGCTGCAAAAATGTTCACTTGCTTCAGGTTATACTGTAAGTGCTTGTAAAGACAAGTCATGGGTATACTGAGTCTACAATGCAAAATTAAATATTACTGCAAGACCACAGATTTTGGCAGGGATTGTGTTAAAATAATTGACTGTTGATGTGTGCACCTGTGTTTAAATCTGCTATGTTTACTGAATAGCTTAAACAACTTTCCTATGTGGAAATTTTTAAAATAGTTAACGCTTCTCACTTCTAACATTTTATCACTTATTTCTTGTTCTGTCAGCAGCTGCAGATTGCAGTGAATTTTTAACTCGCAAGTAAACTGGTTACAAGTCAGTCATTTAGAAACTGATTTACTTTTTTGAATTTGAGTGTAATTGATTGGAAGTTGACCTTTTAGCTGCTTATTTAAAGGAAATAAGAGTAATATCCTGAAGGTAGGGTTTCACCAACCTCTGTCACCCGGTTTGTTTAAAATTCTGGTAAGTTAATAAAGTTTCAAGTGTTGCTATATTCCATAAGGCCAGACTTCTGTTATTTAGTTTCTCCAGCAAGTCTTATTTCATATATCTCTTTGGGAAGGAAAATTGCACCCATAAAATAGGCTGCCAGTACATAAAAAATGTTACATGGGTCAGTTTGTTTTCATGTTGGCAGATAATTGGATTCTTTTAAACTTAGCAATTTAACTCCTTGCAAATTTTGTATACTTCTTTTAATGAAGAGATGTGTTAAAACCACTTATTTTAATTAAGATTCAATGAACATGTAAAAATATGGTTTAATTGTTTCTCACTTCCAAAATAGAGATCTAAGGTTTTTAGTAAATGTAACTGCATTTATGTACTTTTTTTTTTCCCCTCTAATGTAGTTTAGATTCTAGTCCTGCCCCTTTCCAGGAGGAAGCTGGCTAAAAGCAACATTAAGGAAGCTAGGCTTCAGGGAATGAGTAGGAAAGTAAAATTCGTAGAAAGGAGCTCTAATGATAAACATATGTGCCCTTCAGTATGTGTTACTGTTTTGAAAATGCCTGATGATACTTTTACTTGAACTTCAGTGAAATAGTTGAGTTTTGAAATAACATTATTGAAGAAAAGAAGAAAATCTTCCAATCTAGTGCATAAACAAACTTACTTTGTAGGAGTTATTTAATTTTAGCTGAGTATTCTGATTCTTCCCTGTTTTGTCAGCCAAGGGGATGGTACTTCAAGTATGTGTGTGTAACTTGGCATGCGGAACCTCAAATATGAAGAGAACAAGGAAACAATTGAAGTTTCCTGTTAAAAGTTTTTACTGTAGTCTTTCAGTATTTTGTTTTCTATTGCAGCTCTAAGGAGCTCTCAGTCATTTTTTGTACAAAAGCACTGTGTCTAATTCTTTTTCCCTTGAAAAAAAGGTCTCTATGGTTTCCTGAAGGTTGATAAATTTCTGTGTCAGATTTGAAACTTCTTTGATAAAGGACCATTTTTAGATGGACATGAGATAGAAGTGCCTGCAAAAGCCCTGTGTTTTGTTTTCTCAGCTGGCATCCTGGGACAATGCTTGACACATTGTAAACCACACTGGACTTCAGAAGTAATGAAAAACCTCAAATTGTTCTTGAAAAGAAATAGAATTCAGTGGAATTTGGTTAGTGGTTTAATTTTTACATGACTGAGCAATGGCTTCAACCTTCAACCTTTAGTCGATCTCTGCACTTCTAATGAAGTACCACCTTAAAACACTTAATATATTGGGTTGTTACATTGTGTATGTGAGCTTGCAGCATCAAGTTTCTCCTTTCAGATGTTTCAGAACCATCAAAACGCCATTAGTCTGAAGATTACTTTTAAAGACGTGTTTACTAAACGATACTACAGAAAGTTTTCTGATAGCTTAATATTTACAAAATATAAAATGTTAAACTGCTTTATTCTTTATATCTGAGACTTGCAGAGGCAGTATCAAGTAAAATGGAAGCTGGTGAATGCTAGGTATTATTTTCTGGACTGTTAGGTGATATTACAAGAAAAATCAGGAATATAAGAGTAAATCAGGACTTTTTCCTCAGACTTCAGCAGAAATCAGGCATGAATTTGTAGTATAAAAGGTGTAGGTGAAGCTTATACTGAAACTAAACCCTAAATTAGGATTTTGGCTTGTAAGGACACATGGTAACAGGCTGATTCACCAGTCAACTCTCCTGCATATGTCATTGACTGATTCATTGTAATTTATTCTTCAGATATTAGAATGCTATTAACTTTTTTTAAGCAAGCAGGAGACTGGGTCTGTGGAATGCTATATAGCTGGCTTGAAAACTACATATGTAATTTGAGCCCAAATGACATGAGACTTTTTTTTATATGTATATATATGAAGATTACTTCCTGTATTCTTGAAGTTCCCATTTCTCTCTTTTCAGGAAAAGAAAGAGTAGAGACCATATGATACAGGCAGTAGTGTCTGTGTAAGGCTTGCAGTTATTTTACTTGGTCATAGGATAAGAATAGTTGAGAGAGTATTTTGGGTAATCAAGATACTTGTAACTTTAATACTGATTTTCCTCAGGGAAATGCAGAATAGAGGTATTAAGCTAATTGTGTACAGTGAAACACCATTTTAAAAAATTCTAAATCGACTTTTTTAGAAAAACAACTCTTGTCCATCTGGCAAATGCAAAAATAAGTGGTGGTAGAATCTCTGGTTTTACTGTAAAGTGCTGCACAAATCCTTGGAATTCTCAGGGAAAAGGGATTTATATAACTGAATGTAGTGTGGCATCTACCTTCAGCTAACCTTTCTTAAAATATTTCATATGCTGCTCCACTGCAGTATTTTTTTAGGTAACTTAGAAATCTAAACACAATACTGTACTTCCTCTTGATAAAGAAGTACTGTAATCAGCAGCTAATTACAGATACTAAACATAAGTTGAGATACTGAATGTTATGTATTTTGATTGACATACAGAAAGTGCACATCATATGTATCTGTGTATAACATCAATATAGATATTTAGTATCTTTGCAGTAGCTGAAATTATGCAGCAGAAAGGTCTGTGCCCTGCCTGATTACTGACCAGATGTGTGAGAATTGCTGGTAGTTTTCTTCTGCTCTGCAGCAGAGTAGAAAATCTTTAGTAGTAAGTCTTGCCCCCATCATCTTTTTGAAGAGCAGTATTTCTAAACTTAAGCAGGTAGATGCAAATAGACTGTTCCTGTGCTCTTTGTCTATTGCCAAATTGGGAGCAGTGGTAGCTCTTATTATGGCTTGGAACCTGAATGAATGTACCTGTTTTGGAGCTAGATGGTGCCTGCTTAGTTCCCCATGTCCTTCTACAAAGGGTAAAAAAGCAGTAGTCCTGTTTCCTTGTCTCCAGACCTGGCCATCTTCAGTATAAAGTGTTGTTGTCCCCAGGAGTGCGCCCGGAGCAGCATATGTTTTCAAGGTCTGATCACTTGAGTAAGACTCCTCTGGTGAAAAAGCATGTGGTTTTGTTTTTTTTAAATTAATTGACTCTGGTTTTGATCACACATTAATAATAATCATGGCTGGATCATCCTGATGGTGCTCTTGATGAGTTGACATACTTCCCAGACAGTGTAGGTTAGCTTTTATATTCCTCAAATATATCTTTGAATTTCAGCATCTGAAAAATGCTGGGAATAAATAAGAAACCAGCTCTCGTTGCATAGTTGAAAAACCGGCCAAGGTGTGCTGAGCAGAGAATACTGTGAACTAGGACCTTCCAGTCTGATCTGGTTAGCTGAAAGGATGGAGAGCTTGCGTAGATCTGGTAGGTATTGGGTATAGGCTTCGTGGTGGCAAAGTACTGTAGTGAGATGAATGCTGTACATGGAGTTGACAAGCTTCTGACACATAGCAGGGATCTTCTCAAGAGAACAGTAAGGAGTTGAAAGGGCAAGAGTAGGAGCACTGTGTGTGTGTTGGTAGGAGTGCTGTTGTGTTGCTCCTAGAAGGGTTTTTTAATTTTCAAATTCCAGTGATCTGTTTTCTGGAAGGCCTTAAGTCACTTGTTAAAGAATAACTCTATGAAATCTTCGGTAACTGAATATAAGTTTTGAAATACACATAGGTGAAATGATGAAATATGAAAATTGTTACTCTATCCTATTTAGGGAAAGGGATAACAAGTTGATTCTAAATGCCTTCATGTCTAGGTCCAAGAATTTACACCCATACTGACTTCAGATTTTTAGGAAACCCTGAAAAAAACTGTCAAAGGGGATGTAGGCTTGACTAGCTAGCTTTTGTATCAGAATTTTTATCTTAATTTAGCTTGGCCCTGGTGACTGCTGTAGCTGTTTTCCCCAGAAAAATTTAGGTGTTTTTGATACAAACTTCACTGAGTCTTTTGATCTCCAAACAATTGTTCTTTGGAACTGCGCATTTGGCTTGTTAGAAGTGTTAGTGCCTTCAGACTAGGAATTTTTTTGGGTACTAATTCTCTGGAAACAATGAAACTCTGAACTGCCTTGAGAAACAGGAGTATTGTGTTGCATGGTTTTCCTCACTATATGTTTTCTTAGTATTCTTCAGATTACTGGTCTCTACAAGCCTTTGCATTTTTTTTTAATGCCTAGCGATGTGTTGATGAATGAATGTTAGTAAGATTCTTGTTCTGTCCCCTACCCCTTGTTTCAACTATCTTAATGTGGTGTATGAGCTTTATTAAGTGTAAGGCAGACTGAACTTGGATATACTTTTTTACCTTAAGTCTTTCTAGTTGTTTTGCTTTGTAAAGAGATAAAAATTGATTCTATACATTCTCTTCCTGTTTCTGTCACATAGGGTATTAGTCAAAATCACTGCTTTTCTAGTATTTGTGTAAGATTCTTAGAATGGGTGACTCTTAGCCTGCTGGGAGTATGGCAGTCATGTTTGCTGTGTTCTTAAGATTGACCCTGATTCTGTCAACATTTGGTTTTGGAATAGTTGCATTACTTATTTTTAAGCTATTTAAAGCCTTTGAGAAAATAATCAAGTCTACAGTGAGATGTATGAGATACCTATTAATGCATGTATTAAACTTAAGATTTTTGAAGACACTAGCAATTTTTTTATTCCTTTCTTGTGTAAAACATGGTGCCAAAAGCTAGTATTGGTCATCTTTAGATCAAAGGTGATCTTTAGTAGATCATGTGTTGTTGGTTTTGTTTGTTTTTTAAACATACTGATATACCTGAGCTCTCCTGTCCTACAGTGACTTAACCAACTGCAACCTTGTTGGGTGTTTGTTTTGGTACTTTTCTATTCCCTTGGTTTGTGTCCCTGCATATGAAGAGCTCTAGCAAAATCTGTTAACTGTTCCAGAATGAATGTTAAGCATATGGAAATTGGACACCTCTTCTCAGTCCTCTGGGAGAGGTCCGAAGTGTCATTGAATGTTAAGCATATGGAAATTGGACACCTCAGTCCTCTGGGAGAGGTCCGAAGTGTCACGTTGCTGGTGGAGAGGAAGTGCGGAGATTAAGTATCTCTGTTTTATTTAGCCTGCAGTGTTCCTCTTATTTTCTGCAGTCTTTCAGTGTGTCTTCCTTTCCATATGACGTGAAAATAAAGTACTGCTGGATTTGATTCACAAAAACGTTTGTAGCATTGTATCTAGATAAAACCTGCCTTAGCAGCCAATCTATTTACTGTGCTTCAGAGAAATGCATGCTGTGCTGACATGGTTACTTTTTTCAGTTGAAGTTCTGATTTATTTTAATTAGATTCTATTAGAGCATCTTGGGAAGGGATTTTTTTTTCCCTGTAGCTGAGTGTATTTAGTATCTTAGCAATTTTGTAGGCTGTACTGCAAAATTATTGAGCAAATCAGGGTTTTGAGGAAGTTAGCAAAGGTCAAAACAAATAGCTGCCAGCAGCACCGCTTCAAAGGAAGTTCCTCTTCAGCTTTGGATTTGACAAGTTTTAACCTTTTTGCTCAGCAGCTAGCTCTTCTTTGAAGGTCTATCTAGATTGGGCTAGGGGTGGAATTGAACTCTGTTGTGAATCACTGTAGGTCAAAGCCTCTTATATTTTCAGTTGCTGAAGGAAGCTCTAGGAAGGGGTTCATTAGAAAATACCACCAGGGGCTGCTGCTGTTTCTTTAGTGATCACTGAATATTAGGCAGCACTACCCCATAACACTAGCCAAGAACTAGCAGCAGATTTTCATCAGTCCCAGTTAAGCTCCTCGTTCTTGGACCTGCAGTTTTTATGACTGTCCACTCAGACCCTTCTGCTCTAGTAGCACGTCTAACTTTTTCTCCAGGACCCCTCTCCAAGCATTGGCAGTGGGATCAGGGGTCAAGGACATTGGGTGTAGGAATGACCTAAAGAGAAAGTGAGGAAGGAGAAGAGCTGGCAGCGTGAGGCTTTGAATGTGACATGTTGGGGAGCTGGTGTAGATTCATGGGTGTAAATTCTTTGTGACTGTTTTCTGCACACTGGCAGATGCTAGAGAGGATCTTTTGCTTTGGTGTACATGAGAAACATGGTGCTGCTGCTTCTCTGTCCTGCCACTGCAGGGGTTAGTGAAGGTGAGTAGTGGGTGTTCTGGGATGTTTACATTGTTATTCTTGTAAGGCTCCCTTGTTCATCAGTAGAGGAGCTGACTGATATTTTTATCTATTTTATACAGTTTCTGTACCATTATTAGTTCATCATGATGTTTTAAAATAAGCTTTTATCTCTATTTTTGTAATGGGAAGTTGGAGCCAATCATGGATCTTGTGCTATGTCTGTACTGCAGAAATGAGCTCTGTGAGTATACATCAGAAATTCCTCTGACTCTTTGTGGATTAGCGGCATACTTGTATGTTGCTTCTTCTATAATACTGCTTTGCTGCTGATGCTTATGCTGCTTCGGACAGCCTTGGGTGTTCTTGAAAAATAGTCTCAATGTCACTTCATGCATATTGTAGTTTTCCCCCTCTCTTCAATGACTGCAGGATTTTGGAAAAGATTTTGAGAAGATTGAAAAAAAGATTTTGAAAAGACAACTACTGCATCCTTTTGTTTTTGTCATCACAGGTGGCGACAGACAAGGTTGCAGGGAAGCTGAGCTCTACTCTCTCATGGGTGAAGAACACTGTATCACACACCGTCAGTCAAATGGCCAGTCAGGTGGCAAGTCCATCGGCCTCATTACACACTACATCCTCCTCTACCACGCTGTCTACACCCGCCTTATCACCGACCTCACCAACACAGCTGAGTCCAGACGACTTAGAATTACTTGCTAAACTTGAGGAACAGAACAGGTGAGTGGAAAGCTTTTTGGTCTTCAGAGTATAGTAATGAGACTGAAATTAGTTTATTGCAGTTTCAGCAGAGAGGTTGTTAAAGGGGGGTTCTGTAAAACTTCACAGCTCACATTGTTAATTTAAAAGCCCCAAGGTTTAAGAACTTGGGTTCTTGTGCGATGTTTTTTAAAAGGGTTTTCTTGGTGGAACTCTAAAAGGTGTTTTTCTCTCCTGATTTTACAGGAATGTTTATCACTGCCTTTAATACTAAGGGTGTATACTGGAGCCATGAGATTTTTCAGTATCCGATTTCATAGAATTATTGAAATGCTTAGGTTGGAAAAGACCTTTAAGATCAAGTCCAACCATATTTAGAGTTTCTCAGGGATGGAAATTTTGTGTAGCCTTCTTACCTTTTAAAATAAAACTGTAATTTCTATTAGCTTTTTGAAGTCTTACAGATTTCTGAATTCAGTTTTCTGTTGTTTGCCACTTTTACCCAGTTCTTGCTTTCCACTATAGAACCTGCTCTGTTCAGAAATGGAACAGTGTTCAGCCATCTCTATTTGCAAGAAGTAGTAGGTGCATCCTGCTGTTGTGCTAGTGGTAGCAGATGCATACTGTCTTAATCTCATGAAAAGTAACTTCCTAAAATCAGTCTTTCCTGTTCATCCTGGAGATTTTTTGTATAGTAAGCAGCCATTTTCTTGGCAGCCTTTCCATTAGTGTATATTAATCTGCACTATCTACAGTTCAAGATGGAACTTTTAAGTTGGATCAATTGCTCTTGTAGTGCACAGTGATTGTGAATTGGCAATCTCATTAAGAAATAAAATTGGACTGTGATTGCTTAGTGCTGAATTTCCATAACCCTTACTTATTTCCACTCTTCTAAGTCATCTGGCCTCTTGCAAAATTTTCTTGTATTTGACAAGTACGTTCCAGTAGTTCATGAGAGCTGTACTGTAATGGAGAACTTGAACTCCAAAAAGGTTTTGACTTTGCAGATAGCTGCATGGCTTTGATACCCACTGAAGATTGCTATCCCTTGTGCTGCAGTGAAGTGCAGAGTTTGATATTTTAGCTCAGACTAGCTAGTTTCTGCTAGCATGCCGTACTTTGCACTGATTCAGGTTTTTTACTCTGCTGTTTGTTTTGAGGGTAGTAACGTTCAGTAGAGGAAAAGAGTAAATGGAAGGAAGAAGAGCTAATACCATTGCATCACCTAGCATATCTTGTCTCATGTCTGTATTCTGCAGCCTAATAACAATAAAACTAACAAGGAATTTGTTTATCAGTCTAGTTCTTGACTGAGAACGGAAGGTTTCTTCTAGAACCACCTGTTCCTCCTCCTGTGGCTTATGGGCTTTTCTCTCCTTTGAGAATGAATTATATGTAATTTTTGCTGTGCTAGTAGCACGTGAAAAATTATCTAAATGGGAAAAGAAATAGAATCCTTTTAAGAAAGATGATTTGCATTTAATCTGAGACATACAGCTCTGTCCACAACTAAGTGACTAATTTTATTTGAAAAGCAGCAGTGTCTGTTCTTTGGACTGCTTATCTGCATTAGACCATCATGTTTTTACATTTAAAGTCTTCCTTTAAGGCACACAGACCAGTTTGCTTGTGGGAGAGAGATGGTGAGTTTGGGCTTTCTAGCCTCTTCCAAGTCCCTTTTCTTAATTTAGTAAATAAGATAGCAAATCTTGTTTGATGTTAATTAATTTTAGCTAGACCTGTAGCATTCTGTGTGAGTTCTGTTTGGGGGCTATCTCATAAATTGTAGCTTTTCTCTTGAGATACTACACTTAGTAGAGAAATTTGATGCTCTTATTATGCTGGGTGTACAGCAGTTGCAGAACAGTTTGGATCTGCATTTTAGCACAGTGGCACTATGTTGACAAGAAATTGTACTCTGAACACAAGGAACTATTCCTGTATCTGCTTGCTGGAAGAATCGCTGCTGATGAACATTTTGAAAGGTTTATTTTCCATTGTTGGTGTTTATGTCAATAAGAAGAGTATGAATTAGTTAAAGAGCTAGAAATGGAAGAACTCAAATTGTACCAAGCTATGTCTTGTAGCATTCTGTAAGCATTCAATTATACTGTAAGTCCCATCAGAATAATGAGGTAGCTCAGTCCAGAGTCCTGGCAGAGCTGTTTGCTTATTAGTAAATCATTTATAAATGTTTTAGGTCAAAGAAAGCAGTGTCTACATGCCACAGAACTTGCTACTTACTTTAAAAAGAACTATCTAAGGACAATGAGTTTATCCAGGTAAGATCCAATTACAGAAACTTAGCATAACTTCTGTAGAAAGCAGTGAAAACTGAAAGTGACTCGTTAGAACCTTGTTTTTGTAACTGCAGTGCTTATTCTGTGCTTGTTTTTCCCCTGTGATTACTCTGAATTTGATTTTTAGCCACTGTCTTGGATTGACAGGAAGAGTTCCAAAACGTAGATTTTCATTATGGATCACTATAGGCCAGGTTTTCTAAACATTAATAATGGATTTTTTTTTTTTTCCTCAAAACAGGATTTTTGGCATTCCCTTAATATGGACTACATTAAAATTGATCTTTTTTTAAAAAAAGAACCACAAACAAGAAGCTTTTTTCAGTGGCACAACTTATTTAACCTTTTTCCAGACAAAATACTATTGCAGAGACTACTTGTTGTCTTCATGAATTAAATTACTTTTTTCCCTAATTCTATAATTACTGGTAGGTGAAAGCTGGGAATAGGCAAAGTTAGTGTAAATATCTCTATCACAGCAGAGAGCTTAAATATTGTAGCTATGCTACAATATTTAACAATTTTACAATTTGTGTCCAGTCTCAGGTACAATACAGCTGGTGTTATAATTGATAAAATATTTGAAATCTTAACCTGACCTTGTTGAAATGCTGGGACAGGGGAGGTAGCTCTTGTGCAGATGCATTGACAAATTATTCAACCTGATCACTCTTAAAAGTTAAAGCACAAATGAAACTTGTTATAGCAAAAGACTTTTTCTAGTTAGTGTGAATTCTTGCTCTTACGTATAAAAAGTTTCCCCCTAGGTATGAGATTCAGTATGAGTTGCCATAGCAACCTGGTAAGTCTCTTCAGCAACTCTTCCAGCATTTGTCACATATTTACGTATACCTTGCTTCCTGATAACCTCAGAAGTTCTCACATCTGAACTCCAGGCTTTAAATACACTCATTAGCTGTATTAACCACTTCTGTTGCCTGGTCCTCATTGTTTAGGTCTGAGATTTTTCCCACACATTTATAAAACACCAGGTTGTTAATAGTTTTCAGCAAATATCAGGTGCCTTAAAATTGCTCCAGGTTTTAATTATTCTGTCTGTATTTACAGTGTCAATTAAAGTGTAGCCAGGTAGACTGTAGGAAGCTGATCTTTTGTCCTCTCTTTAAAATGACTGTCTCTTTTGAAGTACTTTGGCATTTGACACTATACATGAGGATATTTAACTTCCTTATGTTCTTTTTGTCAGTCTGATGCACAACAGCTGTGGGGGTTTTGCTGCTAGTAAAACAACCCTCTTGCTGGTACTTACTCCTCAAAACATCTTCCCTGTGCTGCTAATAATGTCGAGTTGATGAATGCATAAAAGAGTGCTGGGCTTGAATTGCTTCTGTATTTTCTCTAATTGGATATCTTTATGTATCAAGATCTAGTTTATGAGACCACAAAACTCTGGTATTAAAATCTCACTTCTCTTCATGCTGCTGATGCATGATGTGACATAATTTATCTGTTTCTGAAAAGGCTGCAATGTGAGCCAAGCTTCTGTCTGCAGAATTACTTGAGATCTCAAGAAGAAACAGTAACATTAACCAGTTCTTAAAATTAACTAGAAATGGATGTTGGAAAAACTATTCCACTGAACCTTTGGGTATATTCTTAGTAAAGAGGTTGGAAGAATAGACTTCTAAACAAACAATCAACATTGTGGTCCTGTGATTAGAAAAATTTAAATTTGTTTTTTGTTTGCTTTTTTTGCAGGCTCTTGGAAACAGATAGCAAATCCTTGCGATCAGTAAATGGGTCAAGACGAAATAGTGGATCTTCTCTTGTATCCAGTTCATCAGCTTCTAGCAACCTCAGCCATCTTGAAGAAGATTCATGGATCCTGTGGGGGAGGATAGTGAATGAATGGGAAGATGTACGGAAAAAGAAAGAAAAGCAAGTTAAGGTAGTAGTTGAATGCTATTGTTTAGGATATATTTGAAAAGTGATGTGATATTATTCTATCTTTGTTTCCCTTATTTTTAAAAAAATAATTATGTAATGGAAGCTTCCAGTTGAATCTGCTTCCATCCCTAAGCTCTAGTGCTTCCTATGCAACTGTTACTAGACTTGGGTAACAGTTTTGCCCAGCAAATGCCTCTTGCTGAGATGCATTTACTGTATCTCGAATACTAAAGCTGCCAGTCTATCTCTAATGAGAGATTCCCATGAATACAGGAAACATTTGCTTCATATTTCCAAAATGGAATTACTGAAAATGCACTTAAGGGCATCTGATAGCTGGCTGTGATGATTATTTTCCCACTGAGCAGCTGGTTTCTTAAAGTATTCTTACTAGAAGAGCTAATAATTCTACAGTATGAGGCTCTGATGAGTTTAGTTTTTTATGCATGCAAAGTGTGTTGACCCCAGGGATGACCTTAAGCAGAAGAACACAGTTTCTGAATTCTGAGTGGATCAGACAAACTTTGACGGGTGTGTGTCCAGTTTGAGGTAGTTGTGGGCATGTACAAGACGAGAACTCAATTACACTTCTTAGTTTGAATTGAAAGTCTCTAGGGCGTTTGAATGTATCTGAGTTTCAGAGTCAGCAAGTATAGCAGTGTGGAATTTTTTGTCTGTAGGCAAGTCTTTTCTTCTTGGGCTCTTTATTGACTCTAGTCTGTAGCTTTATGTGCAGAATACAAATTTCAGGATCTTTTGAGCAGTTTGAAATGTGTGTGTATGAATAGGTTGTGGGAAGGCAGAACAATGGGCTAAAATAAAGTATCTTTTATGTGAAGCAGTTGTGAAGAGAGAACATGACTTGAGAGAGGAAACAAGGCAAGAAAATTAATTCAAGACTTCATGCTTGCATAGGGAAAACAGTTTCTGGAAAGGTGTTACCAAAAGGCTGTGAAAAGAAGGCTACATGAACCTGGCAAGAGAAAGCAGAAGTCAGATGGTAACAAGTAGATATGGTAGGCTAGAGTTCATTTGAGCATTATAAAGTGTCACAAGTATCGCTTGTTTTTACAGCTGGCCAAGTTTAATTTGGGGACTATTTGATTAACTTTCAGTAAATAGTTAATTATATTTCTAGTGAGTTTTCCTTTGCTGTTTAAATAATAGCATTTTTTTTGTTTTTGTTTTGTTTGTTGAATATCAACCTAAACTGTGTCATTCTGCATTTAGGATGGAATACCAGAACATCCATACCTATTTCCTGATTGTTCCAGTAGGTATGACACTAGCAGCATAGGTATCTTTTTGTCTTGGCTGTAAAAGCTTGCTTTAAGTTTAGATATCTGGTAAGTTTTTAAAGTTTTAGACATAGGTATGTCTTTCTATATATATTGATGTATCTACTTGCATAGGGGATGTGTTCCATCCTTATGTCTTTTGATCCACTTCAGAACTTGCTTCCTGTTTATGGAGGGATTCTGAAGGATGACTTCAGTTCTGCTTTTCAGTGTGCATAATACTGCATAGAATATCACCATTTTAGTGCTGCTTATTAGGTGCATTTTCCTGCTGTTCCTTTAGGATTTTTGGAGGGATTAACTCTTATTCTGTCAAGCAGGTGCATGATAACTTAAAGCAAGAACCCACTTGCTAATGCTTTTTTATTAGTAGCCCTGGAGGCCTTAGGATGATTGATCTGCAATCTGATAATGCATTGCTGACAAATGATAGCTAGCAGCTGATGTGTTAGGGTGTTGTCTTGGAGCTGGAAATCTTGTAGGTTATAACACAGGTTGTCATATTTGTGTTATGGATGGGACAAATAGTTGGAATGGCATTACTAGGATGGTTCTGAAGAAGGCTGGAGATCTTAGGGATATGAGAAAATTGAGGTCAGTGATACAGAATGCCTGCAGTAGACTTCAAGCTTAACAGACAAAACTTGGAAGCAAGAGTCTCTTTAAAAGTTACCACTGTTGCAGTAATTAATCTCAGTTTGGAGAAGTAGGAGAGATATTTGGAAAAACAAGGAAAAAGAAGCAGCTTTGCAGAACAGGAGATTACTGTGGCTTCAGAGTAAATACTACTGAAAGTATCCATTAGGAGACAGAATACTTGATCACAACTCCTAAGGTACAAAAAACTACTAAAACAACCATCTTGAAGAGACAATCATCTAGGTCAGACTGATCCTAGTTGCAGAAAGTACCACTAAGTCTGTACATTTCTTAACTCACTTTTTTTCTCAGTTTTAAGGTCGAGCAACAAGACTGCTTTCTGCCTGTGCTTTATGAAAAGACAAGCACCAGATTCATAGTCTATTGATCTGGGAAGGTTTGAATTGTGCAATACCTAGCTGATTATTTTTTGCAGGGAAGACAAAAAGTGACTTTAGTTAATTTAGTAGATATGAAGTTAATGTTCTCTTGGTCCTGTGCCTGAAACTACATTTAAATACTTTCTTAAAAGAGAACTTGAAAATACTGGCACACCAGAGAAATTAGACATAACTTGTCATGCTTGTCAGTTGACTTCTGATAGTAGTACTGTCCAATGCTTTTTGTTGCAGTTGGCTGTGCTGCAGTTAAACTTTTTATCATTTACCTTTCCTGGAAGTACTTTTTAAACTGTTGATTTCTTATATCTCAGGCACTAAAAATAAAATTAAGGCTATTATTTCCAGACATCTTTTGTGAAATATAATAATAACTATATTATGGCTCATGGGAATTTTTGTTTAAAATTACTTGACTATTCTGGCTTTGAAGTAGCTTAATATGAATACAGGACTACTTTCATTAGCTAATTTAGCCACTAAAAATGATTGAGTCTCCTTGCTTTTCTTAGCTGACAATCTTATTAGGCTAAAATTGAGGTTTTCACATAATAAACTACATTATTGGTCTTTGATGTGATGTAGACATTTTGTGAAGTTGTGAAGAATTTTAATGTTTTTTTCTTTAGGCTTATGTTTATATTTTCAGGAAATAAAAATGAATTTGCATCTCTCTTTGTGCTTTAGGAGCTTGTTCGAAAAGGGATACCTCATCATTTCAGAGCAATTGTTTGGCAACTCTTATGCAGTGCTCAAAGCATGCCAATTAAGGATCAGTATTCAGAGCTTTTGAAAATGACATCTCCTTGTGAGAAATTAATAAGAAGAGACATTGCTAGAACTTACCCTGAACATGATTTTTTTAAAGAAAAAGACAGCCTTGGACAGGAGGTCTTGTTTAATGTAATGAAGGTAAGTCAGTATTTTACCCCTTGAAAATACAGCAGGAACAAGGTTGATCAAGACAAGAACACTGCCAATCAGAACTAGCATTCAGTTTTCAAGTGTTTCTGCTACCTGCAAGTTGTAGCAGCAAATGGCAGGTATGAGCTAATGTACAGTTGTTACAGTGCCCAAGCACAATGTGAGAATGTCAATGAAAATTAAGTTTGCATTATTTTGTATTCATTCTACTAGAGCTTAAAGTTTGAAAGGCAGACTTCTCCATGCTAATAGTTTCAACAGAGAAGTCTGCAAGTTTCTAAATTATAGTAACTTCTATTACTCAAAGATGGAACATGCATGGAGATCACCACATTTTCCCCACCTGTAAATAAAGCTGCAGCACTTAAATTTTCTGAAAAGAACTGTTGGCTCTTTGGTTTACTTCCTATAAAAGTAGTAGCCTTGTGCAGTTTGTATGCCAGCTGTCTCTTATCTTTTGGCAAATTCCTGTAGCTGAAAACTGCATGAGAACAGAGTTCATATTCATACCCCTTGGGAGAAGCAGGTAGCAACTAGAATATCTGACTAAAACTTTTGAATAGAGTATCTGTCCTCTCTGGATTTGGGAGAGGAAGGAGTAAGTTATTAGCAAAGTAACAGCATGAACTATGATTATTTTTTATTGTTAATGAGGTTTACTGTTGAGAGTCTTAACATTTTATTTCCCAGGCTTATTCTCTGGTGGATCGTGAGGTTGGATACTGTCAAGGAAGTGCTTTCATAGTTGGATTACTGCTTATGCAGGTAAATATATTAAAAATGTGAACCTTTACAATTCCTGCTAGAATGCATAATATACTGTGGTGGTTTATTGGGAATTTTAAAAATTATTTTCCTTCATTATTTGATTACAATGTATTTGTCAAGGGCACCTGTTTACTTTGCAAATAAAATGAGCTTTTTTCTGTGTGGTTCTGCATGCCAAGAAGATAGTATCTTTGAGTGGGAGAATACTTTTATTTCTCAGAGGTAAGGTAGGATTGCAGACTTGCAAACTGTTCTGCTGAATGTTGTTTCAACTATCAACTAACTTTTCATTTCAGTTCTATTACACTGAATATCCTCAGAGTAGAAATGGAACTTAACAGTTGATAATTTTAAAGCTGCCTTGGTATTGCTGCCTTTTGTTTCATAACAAAGTAGAGTATATTATAAGAAACTTGCAGACCTCCATTTTAGTTTAGAAATCATTTGGTAGAATTAAACATATATAAAAGTTCATTACAGTAATTGGTTATAAATTCCTTAAAACAAAAAAACAATAAAAAACACAAACCAAACCCACTGCATACACAAAAAGACTCAGCCCTAAACTCTCTCAGGCACTTACTCTTATATATTCTTATATTTGTCCAGAATTTTTACTGTACTTTTTTTTTTAATTATAGATGCCAGAAGAAGAGGCATTTTGTGTGTTTGTTAAATTAATGCAAGATTACAGACTGCGAGAACTCTTTAAACCAAGCATGGCTGAACTCGGCCTTTGTATGTACCAGCTTGAATGCATGATACAGGTGTGTACAAAATCTATCACACTTATCTCTTCAGTAGCTATTAATAAGGAACTTGGGAATTACAGTTCAAGAGCAGGCATATCTGTTTGCTAAAAGGCTGTTCTGACAGTAGTTACTGTTAGAACTTAAGAATTAAATGCATGTGGCTGTGTGGTCTACTCTTTAAATCTTTGGCAGACAGCGACTGGCTTTAATCATTGAAGCATAAGGATTTGTATTACTATGGCTTAAGCATACGAATGTCTAATCCTGTTTGGATGGAAGATTCTGAAATCAGTGTCTTCATAGTAAATTTATAGCTTTTTAAAAAAATGCAAACTTGAAATGCATGTAGAATTGTGTTCAGATTTGGGACACAGCAAACTTTATTCCCGGTCAGACTGAGAGACAAATAGGTTTGTGGCTTGTGATCCAGTTCTCAACATGATGATCAGGGCTAAGATGTTAAGTACCACATACCCTAGATCCTTCCAGCTCCTTTTTCTAGCCTACACTAGATACGATTTAGGGATTTACAAATTTGTGACTTCCTATTAGGATCAGGAAGTGGTTTTGTAATCTGTGCTTTGTGGGGTGGAAGTGCCGTAGAGGGTTGTCTTGAATGGTTCTTGATAATGAGTAAAATCTTTTCTAGTTCTGTGTAACAAAGCTGCTTTCTGTACTACATATCAACTGTTTTCTTCTTTTATTCAAAATTTGTCAAAAACATAGGCTCACTAAAACTACCAGCAGAATCTTAGTGTATATTTTTTTCTATTCTTTTCCAGGAGCATCTTCCAGAGCTTTATGTGCACTTTCAGTCTCAGAGTTTCCACACTTCTATGTATGCATCATCATGGTTTTTAACTATATTCCTTACAACTTTTCCACTGCCAATTGCAACAAGAATATTTGATATTTTTATGTCTGAGGTAACTACTTAATGTTCATATGATCCATTTCAAGACTATAATTTAAAAGCTGTTATTTAGGTAGTGGTATTTATCCCATTATGATGAGCAATTCTCAAATGCTATTGCTTTTTAGTTATTCAGATTATTTTGTAGAGGAAGATGTCTATGTATGTAGTTTGTGAAGGAAGAGCAGCTAAATCTTTTGAGTGCTCTGAGCCTGTTGAAGAGTCAACACAATCTGTCATTTCTGGATGCAATGCAGTAGCATTGCATACAACAGGAACATCGGTGTCTCAGTATTGTAGTAAGTTAAGGGTGGAAAATAATGCTGCTTTAAGGCCAAAGTTAAAGCTTCATTGGGATATACAGGCCAGGAAGAGGGAGGGTTGGCATCTTCTACTGTCCAGATGATGAACAAGAGCCAAAGAAATTAACGGTATTCATAGAATCATAGAATGTATTGGATTGGAAGGGACCTCTAATGGTCATCTAGTCCGACCCTCCTTCAGTAAGCAGGGACACCTCCAACTAGACTAGATTGCTCAGAGCCCCATCAAGCCTGATGTTGAATGTCTCCAGGGATGAGACCTCCACCAGCTCTCTAGGCAACCTGTTCCAGTATTGTATTATTCAGTGTCATTATCACAAAGACACCCTAAGTCATGTTTAGGATTAGAGATTTGTGTGGTTGTAACTGTTAATAAACTAAACCTTATGGTCTGTGCTTGTTTTCTGCAGTCATCTTTTAGCAAATAGTAAGTCAAATATAATCTGAAACTGAAATGGCTTTTTTGAGAAGTACCCGGGTGTTTTTTTGTGCTAGATATATTTTAAACTTCGGATACCTCTGACATAGCGAACACATGTCACTCAAAGAGTTTTTACCTCAGCACTGGCTTCTCTGAGGGGTGTGAGGGTGGTCCTGGCATCAGAGCAAATAACTGGACTACTGCTCTTTGGAACAAATAAGAAACTCCATACCAATTTATTGAGAGATTTTTCAGTAGCCCTTTTTTTTTTTTCTTTAGAAACTGGGTGAGATTCTAAATGTTAGTAAGTGGTATGATCATTCTGTCCTTTTGACATTGCCAAGAATAACTTTTGGATATTTCTTAACTTCTGTTTGCAGGGTTTAGAGATAGTATTTCGAGTAGGTTTAGCAGTTCTTCAGATGAACCAAGCAGAACTACTGCAACTTGACATGGAAGGAATGTTACAGGTAAATCCAGGTTATAATAATGGTAAGAAATTTGAGATGTGTATTGTGTGTGTATCCCCTTACAGCTATTAATTATATGTAATCTTGTGTTCTGATTGCTTTTAGCACTTTCAAAAGGTCATTCCACATCAGTTTGACAGTGGTCCAGACAAATTAATCCAAGCATCTTACCAAGTCAAATACAATGCAAAAAAGATGAAAAAGTAAGTAACATTTTGAGAAAATAGATTATACTTTTTCTATGAGATATTGTTTGTTTATCTTTAAAACTAGTTAATCAGTATTTAACTTTGAATTTGCTGTCTTTAAGTGTTTTGGTGTTTTATTCTATAAATGGTTAAAACTTATGTTCTGTCTGCAAGAAAATTCTTTGAAAACAGTATTTACCATTTTTCTTAGATACAATAAAGCTGTATCTCATAAAAATCACCTACAAAGCTTTTGAAGAAAGCTGCAAACTATGGTACATTACAGGATCTGTAAACAGGATCTGAATTGAAAAAGCAGTCTGTGTGTGGGGTGTGGTTTTGGCAAGGGGATTGTTTGGTTTTTGAGGGTGAAGAGGGAAAGGAGGTTAAACTTTATGATCTGGCCTAAATTCTTAAGACTTTAGTTTTAAGAATACTGGTAGAGTATTCATAGTGCTGAGGAGTACATGTATGGTAAAGATTAGTGCTGTTTAGTAATATAAATTAATAAAACTTTGTAATACTGCTCGTAATTGTAAAATAACTTTCATTTGGCATTTAAAATACTAAACAGAATACTATTTTTTTTTTTAAGGTAAGTTGTATGTCTTCTCTTCTGTCTTTGGTAAATTATGTTTTGATAAGCCAAGCTGCACATATTGTGCTTTTCCAGGGTTAAGTTTGGCAATTCTCCAGCTGAGCATAATATATTATACACTCACTGCTCTTGCACTGCAGATTGCACTAAGGTCTTTCAAGCTGAATTTGGCAATCCTTCTTTCAGCAGCCTGTGATCAAGGCTGTAGACTGAGCGGTCTTCTCTAGAATAGAATTAGCAACAAAGCTTTCAGGAAAAACACTTTATCTGAAAGCCAGTATAAATTTATGTTGTTTAAAATCTTGCCATTCTGAGTCTAAACTTCCTGTGTTACCTTACATAGAAACTTCTGATATCTCAGCTTGTTTCTCCTTGTTGTCGCCTTTTTCAATTGGGACAATTTTGTAGTATGCTGGAGAGGGGCCAAAATTACTTTATATGTTTAAGATCTTTGCCTCAAATCTCATTGTAGCTTTCTGTCTTCCAAGCTTTCCAAGCTGTTTTCTTTTGGCTGAATCTATTGAATTAATGATTTTATAATTACATTGAGTGGTTATTACAGAGTAGCTCCAAATCATTGCCACTGTAACAAGCAAGCACCTGTGCTCCAGAGTGCTGGTTCAGAGTCTGTTCATATCTACAGAAGTCCTTGTGTTTTAAGTGTAGTTTTAATGTCCAGTCTAAATATTTACAGGTGTGCATTTCAAGTGGCCACTTAAACAGAGCAAATATCAGTATTCTGTATCTCGGTTCTATTCTGGTTTGTTAGATATTACACCAAGAAGTTATCTGTGTTTTTTCTAATAATTACTATTTCAAATTTTTAGGTTAGAAAAGGAATACACTACAATAAAGACAAAAGAAATGGAAGAACAAGTTGAAATTAAAGTAAGAGAGCCTCAATAAACTAATTTATGGACCAGCTTAATTCTAGATGTGGGGTTACATATTTGATCTGTGTATGTAGCAAGACATGTAATTGTGATCTCCAGATTATTTTAGCATTTGTATTTCGGATGTCTGTTCATAAAGGACACTTGGTGAAATTGGGAGCTTTAACATTTAAAAAAAAACCAACTTTGAAGACTTGCTGTACACAGTTTTCATTGTTTTCTGCTGACTAAAGCTTGATTACAGATGGTTTCATTTACCAGAGGGTGCCAAGTACACTGGTTTAGATGTAGATGTCCCACACAGGAGGTTTTTCAAACACATGTTAAGATAGAGTTTATCAGAATGCACTTGAGTGGTTAATCACTGATTTTGAGATCTTGATCTTTTCTTATGCATTGGACCCAAGACTGAGTGTCTTCTGTCTGTATTTTTTCTTTTGGAGCTTCTGCAGTTGATACATAATGTGGAAAAACCACACCCTGCAAGTGCAGTTTGTTTCCCTTTACTAATTGACCTACTTCCTGCATATACAATCACTGTATCTTTTTCTGTTAAAGAAATAGGCTTTTGCTGCTTTTTTACTTTTCCACCCTTTTTTCTCAGCACTGTTTGATCTGGATTTGTTTCTTTGTCACATTTTTAGCTACCTCCATGAGAAAAGTCAGTGGGAGAAATGATGGGCAAGTGTTGTATAGGAAGCTTAGCAGAGGGAGTGAGGTACAATCTTTCTTCTTCCTGTCCTCCCAGTCATTTTGCCTTTCAATATCAGTTTCCAAGGCATTAGTTCTTCAGAAAAATTCAATGGCACCAGCTGCAAAGATGTTCCAAGGTTTTTCAGGCAGTTTGTTGTTGTAACAGGCAGAGAGGCAGTCAGCATCATTAGGACCTGCTGTAACAGCATCTCAAATCAGATTTGCAGGACTCAGATACCATCTATTGGCAGAATAAAATTAGTTGGAAGACAACCATAACTTTAGATTCTAGTATCTTATTTCAAATCGTTCCTTGCTCCCTATCCCCACCCACCCTCCAAAAAAATCCAAACCAAAACCACCAACCAAAACAAAAAAAAACAACACCACAACACTGCAATCAACCCCAGCAACTCTGAAACTTGTCTTTCTAGGCCCTGCTTTGGGACCTGGTATAAGCTATTTCTAACTCTCTCTTCTGCTAAGAAGCTCTGCTCTTTTAGGAAGACAGAAAAGCAAGCACATCAAGTCTGCCTTTTAGCCTGGCAGAATAAAGCATGACTGAACTGCTATCCATAGCCCTGTTCTTAGGGATACAGTTCTGTCTGAATGCTGGTGGCTAAAATTTATAGGATGTGCACTGGCAAAACATGCTAATTGTACAATTCTTTCTCACTTCTAGGGCATGTGAAGTAGATAGTTCTCAGTATAACCTTATCAGTTAAATATTATGTAATTTAAGAAATTATTGGGAGGAAAATGAAGGAATCCCTGTAGCTATCTCATTACCCTGTCCTAGTGCAGGTCTTTCATGTCCCCTACCATGAAGACTGTGACCATAAACTTCTGTTTATGAAGAGGAGGCTGTTAAGTCTTATGTGTGGTTAAACCCTGTGGTTCACCTGCAGACATACTGCTTTCATCTAATGGAACACAGATGTTTCAGTCTAACACAAGACGTCTCTCATCTTCGCTGTATTAAGCTGTTAAAGCTCATCTTTTGAGTTAATACATCACATAAAAGGATGTTAAAAAGCTCACTATTTTTGTGTATTTACATTGATTTTCATAGATGTAATGAGATAACAATGTTCTTGGCTTATTTTGGCTTTTGTCAAACTTCCAATTTGTTACTTGAGAAATACAATTCTCAACTGTTTACCTTCCAGAGGTTACGAACTGAGAATAGACTCCTAAAACAGCGCATTGAAACATTGGAAAAAGTAAGTATGTTGGTGATAACTTTCAATCTTTGTTAATTTACACTTAAATTGATGGCAGTTTTACTGTATGAAATGGGAATCTGGGAATTACACCTTGCTGTTCTTCCTGCTCATCTATGGTGTCAGTTAGGGTCAGTGCTTGTAAGTGTTTAAGGATGTTATATCTTGCTCTTAGTGAGTATGAAATCAAACATTTTGACATACCCAACTTCTGTTGTACTGTTTTCTTTCTGAATTAGAAGTATCTGTTAAAGGTCCAGAAGACTACATGAAATAGTGGACTGCTTGGGTGGAAAAGGGGTTATTGTGAGAGAACCTTCGGTTTTGAAAAATTGAAGTTGCTGAGTATTCTTACATAGGAGCAGATTGACAGACCTACCGATGACCAGAGAGATGGAGATGAAGAAGGTTTTTCCATCCCTAGCAAATGCAGCAGTAGAGGGGTGTTGTTGCAGCATTCACATTCAGTACAGGAAGTCTGCTGTCATTAACATGTTTTATACAGATTTGAATTTCTGTAGCAATTTTGGGAATATGGAGGGCAGAATATCTTTTAAGACTTATTTCTCGCAGATTTAGTCTGGAATAGAGTCTCGTTAGGCTTCTGTGTAATTTGATATAACTTAAGAAGTATTCATGGTGACTGTTACCAGTACATTGCCAACATGCAAGCATTGTTCTCGAGCAGCCTCTCCTATATTCTGGTATTATAATTCCTGTGACAGATTGTCTTGAGCCTGTCTGCTCCAGAATGGGAACATTCCTGTACATCTTAACCATGAATAGCAACTACTTTTCAAAAAATGGAATGGAATGCTCTTGTGAGTTGCAAAGAGTTGTTCATGTTTCACAGGGAAGAAAATCGTAAAGATGCAAGTTAGAGTGATATAACTGAAAATGTCATCCTTTAGATGTTAAATCCATTACAGTTTCTTGGAGAAGCAATCAATCTGTGAAATTCTAATTCATCTCCGAATTTTGGAAAAATGCACCTAATGCTTATGTATTGTGAAAGTTGTGACCAAAAAAACAATTTTATAAATATCTTGGTTTCTTATTTTGAAATGCTGTCAAAATTAACTGAAAAAGACTTGACTTTTTAAAAGAGATTAAAAGCTGTAGTGTATCTCTTCAATACTTTTTTGGCAAATTTATAATAGCAAATACCCCTGTTTTACACTTGGAGACATTTGAAATAATTTTAATTAGAGAGTCCACGATGAACTGGAAGATGCTAGTGCTTTTGCCAATTCTGTGTTTAAAATTTTATAATTCACTTTCAGAATATCTCATTCTGACTGGAATTGGAACATTTCGAAATGGGAAAAATATTATTTATTCATAAGAATATCTGAAGATCATTATCATCACACCATCTGAAAAGCAGATCATAAAAGCGTGAACAAACACATTCAGTTCTTCTGTCAGAAACATACTAAAAATACCTTTTCATAATCCTAACCTATATGATTTAGTTGTGATTTGCTTAGTGTACCTTAATGGCAAACATCCTAACCTCTGAGTAATAACTCTTATCAATCAGTTTGAACTTTAATTTTAATAAAAGTTACAAGGACAAAAATGGTCTGCAAATAGATGCGTTCTCTCTTGTAGACTCTGCAAAAATTGAGTGCTTTCAAAGGTGATAGAGGAGAAACCAAATGTGCAGCTTGGAGAGGGGTGGGGAATGTGGTGCTTGTCACTGTGCCTAAACAAAAATTTCTTACCTGCAAAACTGTGGCAAGGAGAAAATCTTTGCACTGCTCAACTGAATTACTACAAAGAGTTCAGTAAAACAAAATATTAGCTGTCATAGTTGAAAGTTTCTGCTTGTATGTCAGTTTTTGCACCATGTAACCTTCCGGGCTTCCTTGTTTTGGAAGCTTTAGTTCTGCATGAATGCTTAGTGGAGTTTCTTTGTGCTCAAATTATGCCTTCCTTTCATATTGTGGACAGACCATAGACCACACCTTGTATCCATCTACTATCTGGCATCTGACAATGGATCAGTAACTTCTGCTCATTAGGGAAGCAAGCCCTTGGGATAAAAATACCCCGTCTCCTGGAAGTAAAATTTAAGTGTTAAGGAAATCTGACTTTGAGACCTTCTTGTATCAAAGATGGACTGTGCTAAAGCTACTGCAGAAGAAGCTGCTTCCTGGGGCTTTCAGGCTGAGTTGCCTTAATTTAGATGAAGAGTTGTTAATTTTGAAAAAATAGTTTGTATAGAAAACGGGTAGAATTTGGGCATTTTCTTTCTCTCAGCTCTTGTCTTTTTTGTCACTATTATCACCCCTTTGTTTTTTGGTATTTCTTTTTCCTTATTCCTATCTGAATTTTTCCTTTGTAGGAAAGTGCTTCCTTGGCAGATAGATTGATACAGGTATAGTCTTTTAGTCTTTTGACTCTCCTACTCTCAACCCCAAACTGCCTTAATGCATGCATATTTGCATGCTGTACTCTATCCCTGCCTTGCTGATTTGGAATAAATGTAGAGCTAATCTCTTTCTAGAAACTTGTTGAATTTTGTTTACTAAAAATACATAAACCAAATACCTGCACGTTGTATTTTTCCTAACCTTATGTAATTTTTTGGTACAAATTCCTGCGACAAATGGAATCTGTGACACTGTATTAACACTGAAATTTAATATTGCAAACTTAAATCTGTGCATGTACAACTGAGTAACATTGCATGAAAGGACATTTTATTGAATGCAAGTACACAATTGTACTTGCTTAAACAGATGCTGAACCCTGTAATGAAGTACTAAAGCAGCTGTTTAGTGCTACCTTGTCCTAAAATTTCTACCAATTGTAGTCTATGCTGTATGCAAAACCAATCTGATGAAATAAGCAGCTAAGCATCACAAAGGCAGTCTTTCTAGGATTTGTCCTCAATTGCTTAAAAAAATGAATTATGTCCTAAGGGACAAGTGACAAGGGCCCAGGAGGCTGAGGAAAACTACCTCATAAAACGGGAGCTGGCCACCATCAAACAGCAGAGTGATGAGGCCATTACTAAACTGGAGCAAGCTGAGAATACCATCAGGGAGCTCCAGCAGCAGCAGCAGCAATGGGTAAGAAGCCTGGCAGCACATCATCTCATCTTTTTCACTCACTCATGTTTTATTTTTCCTCATCATGACATGGTCTCTGTGCTGTTCTTGTAAATGCTTGTTCACTGTGATTTGCATTCCTAAAACTACACAAATTGGACTAAGTAATATTTTGGTCTGTTCTTACTCATACATGAGATTCATCACCCTGGATAGATATGTTAGCAGTTAAAAAAAACCCCAAAAACAACACCACAAAACAACCCAACAAAATGCACCAAGCAAAAAAAACAAGTAACAAGAAAAACCCCAACTAAAAGCCCACTACCACAAAAGAAATACTAATAAAAAAACACACAAAACCTTAGGTAGCTCCTAATTTTAAGAATCTAACCATCACAAATTGTATCCCTCTAAATACTCAAATTGAGAATTGATTCATAATGCCTTTACCTAGCTTCTCATTTAAGTCAGTCTCTTACCTGTTAATGTTTCTTCTGTGTACCTTTGTTTTTTTTTCCTAGCACACTTACATTTGCTGCTTGCAAAAATAGAAGGGTATTGTCCCGGAGTTTGGAGCTATAAGGCTTATTAAAGGAGTGTATTTATCTGCAGATACAGCAGAAAAATAACTTTTAGCAGCTGTATGCAGTCCTGTGTTTGTGTGTATTATGTGTTTTAGGTAATATAATGTGCAAGAATTCAATTGACTGTTGCTGTGAGGCTGAAGTTGCTTTAAGCCACTTAAAAAGTGCTCAGTATCTCCTGAGAGGGAGATCCAGCAGTCTTGACTTGCTGAATAAACTATGCACTAGCAATCTTGATGCGAACTTGCTCATACAGTTTTAAGTAAGTGGTATCCACGTACTTGTCTGAAGCCCCAGGCATTTCAGGTGTATGAAGTATGACTGTTGAGAACTACAGCACACTGCAGCTGCTTACAGGACCCCTTACAGCCAAAATAGCATTTTGTTTTACACATCTTCCACCTAAGTTCTGGAAATACTTGTGTCTTGACTTGAAAGATGGGCATGAGATTTACTGTTAGACTGAAAAGAAATCATAACTTAAATCATAACTTAAACTTAAATAGCCCCAGAAGAGGTCAAGATAGAGGAAGAGTTTGACATGGTAGATGAAGATTGGGTTAGGGATCAGTTGAGTAATCTGGACATCCATAAATCAATGGGTCCAGATGGAATGCACCCAAGGGTGCTGAGGGAGCTGGCGGAGGTCATTGCTAGGCCACTCTCCATCATCTTCAGTAAATCATGGGCAACAGGTGAGGTGCCTGAGGACTGGAGGATAGCAAATGTCACTCCAGTCTACAAGAAGGGCAAGAAGGAGGACCCGGGTAACTATAGACCGGTCAGCCTCACCTCCATCCCTGGAAAGGTGATGGAACAACTTGTTCTTGTGACTATCTCCAGGCACATCAAGGACATGGGGGTCATCAAGAGCAGTCAGCATGGTTTTATCAAGGGTAAATCATGTTTGACTAACCTCATAGCCTTCTATGAGGAAATTACTAGGTGGATAGATGATGGTAGAGCGGTAGATGTGGTTTATCTTGATTTCAGTAAAGCATTTGACACCGTCTCCCACAGCATCCTTGTGGATAAGTTGATCAGGTATGGGTTTGGTGACCAGGAAGTGAGGTGGATTAGGAACTGGTTGAAAGGAAGGAGTCAGAGAGTGGTAGTCAATGGGGTAGAATCTGGTTGGAGGTGTGTTACTAGTGGAGTCCCACAAGGGTCGGTGCTGGGACCGGTGTTGTTCAACATCTTCATCAACGACCTGGATGAGGGTATAGAATGTACCCTCAGCAAGTTTGCTGATGACACTAAGCTGGGAGGAGTGGCTGACACACCAGAAGGCTGTGCTGCCATTCAGAGAGACTTAGATAGGTTGGAGAGTTGGGCGGGGAGAAACATGATGAAATTCAACAAGGGGAAGTGCAGAGTTTTACATTTGGGGAAGAACAACACCATGTCCCAGTACAGGTTGGGGGCTGAACTGCTGGAGAGTAGTGTAGGTGAAAGAGACCTGGGGGTCCTGGTAGACAGGAGGATGACCATGAGCCAGCAATGTGCCCTTGTGGCCAAGAAGGCCAATGGCATCCTGGGGTGTATTAGAAAGGGTGTGGTTAGTAGGTCAAGAGAGGTTCTCCTCCCCCTCTATTCTGCATTGGTGAGGCCACATCTGGAGTATTGTGTCCAGTTCTGGGCCCCTCAGTTCAAAAAGGACAGGGAACTGCTCGAAAGAGTCCAGCGCAGAGCTACGAAGATGATTAGGGGAGTGGAACATCTCCCTTATGAGGAAAGGCTGAGGGAGCTGGGTCTCTTTAGCTTGGAGAAAAGGAGACTGAGGGGTGACCTCATCAATGTTTACAAATATGTAAGGGGTGAGTGTCAGGGGGATGGAGTTAGGCTTTTCTCAGTGATGACCAGTGATAGGACAAGGGGTAATGGGTGTAAATTGGAGCATAGGAGGTTCAAGGTGAATATCCGAAAAAATTTTTTTACTGTAAGAGTGACAGAGCACTGGAACAGACTGCCCAGGGAGGTTAAATGCAACATTATAGAAATAGTTCATTATGTCTGTTTAATGCATTTCAGTATAATAAAAAGCATAGATTACTTATAACAGTTGCAAGGAGTTATAAATGAGCTGTCACTTTAACGTGTAGCGTTGCGTTTTATTTACCTTTAGCAATTTCTTTAGGGAAAAAAACATGAAGAAATTATGATTAGGAAAATGGGGATATTCCAGCAATGCTTTAAATATATTTAGATATGTTGTAATCTTTCAAGTGAAATAAAACAGATGTTCATGGATTTGGGTAGCTAGCTGTTTACTGTCTAATTACAGTAGTACACATGCTTTTGGAATATGTTTCTGGAGGCATACTTACCAGTATTCAATGTATTAGGTAACTGATGAATGAATTTTAAAGCTAATGCTTTTAGTTATGCTGAGGACCTTAGTAAGTATCAATGATAGGGAAGCCTAGCAGGTTGGCTGGGCAGGAGAATTGGTTCTGAACAAAACTGGCTGGATTGAAGCTGTGAGGGCAGAAGATTGGACAGGTGATGCAGGAGTGGAGAGTAAGTAAAATGTCAGAAAAAGCAATGAGTTTAAGACCCACACTTGCAACCCTGAATGCTTACAGCCTTGTTTTCCTCTACAACAGTGTGACTATGACTATAGCAATAGTCTGAGTTTGCTTGGAGCTGTGGCTGTAGAACCATGTGATGGTTATAAAGGAATTTGTGCCTAGTAGTTGACTACTTTTGATGCATTAAGGAATAATACTGTGGTTTTGACACTGTCTGAACTAACTTAGACAAAGTGGTGAGTGTTAAGATGGTTTCAATTAGTAGTTCCCTAGCTTCTGCTGCATTAGCAAGATTTGTTATTGAACTGGCTTTTAACTTGGTTTCTGAGCATGGAAATCGGAGCAATAAATATGAACAGCTGCATGCGCTCAGGGCACCACCTAGTGGAAACCTATCCATTGCTTCTGAATCTTGGCGTTTCATTTTGAGTACACTGACAAATCTTTTTGTCACTTATTAGTGACAATAACTTTGCTCTCGGCACGACTGCTCTTCAGTATTGGCTTAAGAATATTTGCTTTAATAGTTGCTGTTTTTTTCCCTCCAATTATTTCAGTTTTGCTTATGGTTAGCAAAAATGGTTGCACAGTGAACTTACAAATGTCTACATAATTTATCTGTACTTATTTAAAGTACAACATCTATGCTACATATTCTATAATCTACATAATTTCCAATCATGAGTTGTCTGTTTCAGCATGACTGGAACTGTGAAGTGCAGGTATGAATTCCTGTATAGGAATGTATGAACAGAACTGCCTGAGGATACTTGCAGCTGCCTCTGCTGAGCAACACTGTGAGGTTAAAAAAGCAAAACAAGAAAACACAACCCACTTGTTAATCATAAGGCAGCAGAAATAAGAGGTTTTTATAGTGTTGGTAGCAAAAAAATTTAAAACCTAGTATTTCTAAGACGGCTAACGTATCCTTTGTAAAGAGTTTATGCATTTGTATTTAAAAATATTCTGTCTGCTCTATGAGATTTGATAGCGCTATTTGGATGCCTTAAAGGTAAGTATTGAAGGTGTCTAAAGGATATATGTGTATGAAGAAATTGTTGCAGCATGCAGTGCTTCCTTGTAAGGCTGAATACAGAGATGGGTAGAGGAGTCTTTTGACTGAATTCCAACACCAGAAGCCCAAATTGCATTCAACTTTAATTTCTCATGTGCTGAAGTAATTATACAGAGTTTTCAGCTGAACGAGAATGAGTAGGGAGACCCAACACTTTGCAATACGGTCACAGAGGTGGTTCTTACCATTGTTTCTTAACAAAAGGAAGGAAAGTTCTGCTCTAGTACTTGTCACAGACAACCCAGTAATCTATTATTGGATTATTAATACTATCACAGATTAAGTGCAATAAAATGTATTCTGCATATTTTTAATATATTTAAGATCCTTTGGAGGGAGAAAAGGAAGCATAAAATAAGTTTTGAGATACGATTTTATTTTGGATGTGACCTTTTACATCTTAGTAGAGAGCAACTCTGTCAGTAGAAGGTTTTTGAGAACAGTGTATAACCTGTATGTTTTTTTATATAACTATATAAGGAAAAAGTAATTACAAAGCTAATTATATTCTGAAGCTGTCTTGGAGTTCAGTGCTCTAGCTACCCAAATCTCTGAATATCTGAAGAGAGTGGTAGTAATCTGTCTTCAACACGTCTAATCTTTAAATATAGAAACTTGCCAAAGGCTTCTAGATGTGATGTGTAACCAAAGGATTAAGAGGAAGGTGGTTTCTTCCTCATATTGCTAGTAAATCAAGAACTGTATAGAGGAAGTTGCCTGACTTCAGCAGAATACAAGTGGTTTTCTTGTGAGGCATGCTAATAGTGATGGTATTTAAGGAGTTAGGAGTGAGGGCAATTAGCTTGTTCTGACTTACTCCTGATAATTAGGTGCTTCACATCTTATTTTTAAGAAGGCTTTTCATGTATCATGTGAAGATAAAATTTCAACTGACTAAACATCGTCCAGAAGCATGAACTTGGTTATCACTGAAGCAACTCCATAATGCATAGTTTCTTTTCAGGAACTCATGCTAAAAGTACTGATAAAAATTAAACGTGTAACTTTATATAGGGGATATATGCCTGTAAATTAGTGTTGCAACCTCATGGAAGGCTTACTTTTATTTTACAATCTACTTTTTTCTATTACATTTTGATTTGTAACCAAAAAGCAGGAAATAAAAATACTGTAGTTAAGTATTACAACAAGTGCTTAAATGGGTAAACAGAGTTAGTTGGGCAGCTGCTGAATCATCTGTTGACATTCAGTACAGAGTACTGGAAATACATTCTGTAATACACATAATTACAGGCAATAATCTGTTATTGGCCAATAGTAGAGATGGTTATGTCAGTCTGCGAGTTATTAGTATTTCTGAGATTTTAAGAAAAGGTTGGGAAAATAAATCCAGTTGTGTGAAGGCAAGCAAGGACTTTTCTTTCAGAAGTAAAAGGCTGTAGGAATACATTTTTAGTGCTTTATCTCAGACATCTTAACATATCCAAGGAAAACAGTGTTGCTGGGCTTAAAATGTTTGGCTGGTGTGCTTTTTGTCACAAATTCGTTGTGCTTTTTGTCACAAATTGTAGGGCCTATGGAAAATATATAAAAGCAAGTTTTTCTCAAGTTAGACAAAGCAGAAGTTCTCAAACATTGTTTTAGCTGTAAAACTGTGTTACCTTTATATACTAACTTACTAAAATTATATGTTGGCTTTCGAAGGAGCAAAATCCCAACTTTGAACTTGTGAGTACTTTTTTTAAAATCTGTTTTGATCTTGACTGTATTGTCTGTCAAGATGAGATTTCAAGTTTGTTGTGGCTAAATAGATAAGTGCTCCACTTATGTTCCTTGGGGACGTGAAATCTAAATGAAGATTTAAAGGAGGCATGACTTATGCCTACACTGGATAAGTAACTTTTTTTTTCACTCTCCATTACTTATTACTTGCCAACATCAGAGTTCTGTAGTCTGAAACTATTTAGAGTACACTTACATATTGTTGCAAAATTAGGGTGTATTCAGTTTTCAAATCTGCTTTTTTCTGTTTCTTGAAACGTGCAAGAGGACTTCTTACCTGAGGAAAGCACACTGCATTTGTTCTTGTTCCATATGTATCATACCCAGAATCTGGAACAAGAAGTGTAGTGCTGTGTGTATCATCTAATGACCTTGTGCAAACAGCCATTAAATAAGACAGAGCTGTTGCCTGTTCTGTCTGCATGATGTTACATGTGCTATTCAAGCTGCTGTAGCATGTGAGACATTTGTGGAAAGGCATCAGCATTGTCCACCCATCCTCTCCTCACACTCAAATGAGGGCTACCTTCACTGCTTGCTGAGGCAAAGACACTATGTGGGTTGAAAATAATATGAATTAAATTAGTTTTGTATGAGAGGAAATATTAAATATACTATGTTCTTTGTACATTAAGCATTTGTATGTTCAACTGCACAGTTAGGTATGACAAGCACTTAAATGGATAGTCTCAGTGACACTGCTTGCATGAGCTATATTTGCCTTTTAATGCTTTGTATGTATCCCCTCTGTTATAGCTCCCTGCAGACATATGTAAGAAATAAAATAAATTGTAACACGAAATTTAGTTAGTGTAGATTTTGAGTTTGGATTGTACCATAAGCCATGATGAAAGGCTTAGTTTTTAGATGCAGAAAGCTAAATTATCTGATGCAAACAAAGAAATAATTGTATCTTTAGTATAATGAATCCTCTCTGGATTTTAAAGTTGCATTTTGATTGACTAAAAATTAATCTATGCATCCAAGTATAGTATTTATTCTTCACAATGTAGGTATGGCACCAAAAATGTATTATGTGCTTTCCTTTTAAACTTTTTTTTTTAGGGTAGCTGTACATACAGAATAACTAGGAAACTATACTTTGGGGGATTTCAACACCTTTTTTTTTCTAAACCAGAAATTGAAATGCTGATTTAGGATGGTATGGCCTGTCAAGTCTGAGAATCTGTGGTGAATATCAAGTAATTTTAAAGTAATACAAGAAATAAAATTTATTTAGTAACTATTGACTGGAGAAAAAAAGTTAAGTGGAGCTTTTGAATACTAATGCTTAGTATGACTTCAGTTGAATGTATCTTTTGAAATACGCTGTTTCATGGAATTGTGCTTTAGCAAGTGAAAGGATATATCTCACTTTTAACTCTGGCTAATCAACAGTCAAGAAATAAGGTAATGGTGCATTACTGTATTTGAGCAGAACTGTTTTTTCCATTCCCTCTGAAGTGTAGATAGGGTGACTAAGTTCTGAACTGGCTTTTTACTACTGAGGGAATGTGTTTGAGTGTGCAAAGCTGGCCTGGGATAGTCTTGGACTAAGTCCTGTACGGAAGAAGCAAATTTCTTTGTAGCTTGGCCCGATGCTGTCTGTCTAGAAGGGGCTATACTGCTATTTGTGCCTGCATTTTTCTTACAAATCCCTGGTAAGAGAATCTCAGAAGGAATAGGTATAGCAGGAGCACATGAGGGTCAGGGGTTGTAGCAGAAACAACAGACAAACCAAAAGTGATTTGGCATGGAAGAATACATTATTTTAAATCCAAGATTATGGAAGGCTTCTGTTGATTTAGAGTTTGAGAAGGGATCGAGAGATACTTGCATTAACCTTGTAATAAGCTAGTCTTTCCTACGTATCTTTTTCTGCATATCACAATGTAATCACAGATCCTTGGAAAATTTTTCTGTTTGTATAACAATGAGGAAAAGTGTGAGTTGTTGCTCATCAGTACTAGCAGGGGTGTCAGTTTGGTCTTGGACATTTAGCTGTGCAGAGATGCCGTGGTTTGAGAGGTGTAGGGTTCTTACTGTCAGCAGTCTGGATGAACATGTCTGTAAACTTGTATAAGGTATGCATTTCTTCTGTTGATCTTAAGCTAGTATTTCTAACATTAAGCATTTGAATATACTTTTCACTCCAAATCTGGCATATAAAACCCCTTTCAAATAATCTGTGCTTCATACTAAACATATTTCTGCAAACTTTGTAGCATAAAAGCAGTATACGATACAGTGAAGACTTTGTGCTACAGCTGGAAAAAGAGCTGGTCCAAGCCAGACTGAGTGAAGCAGAATCCCATTGTGCCCTGAAGGAGATGCAAGATAAAGTTCTAGAGATGGAGAAGGTAAACCAAACCAGGATCCTCTGTATAAAATAGCACTAGAAACAGAATACAGGTCCCTGTAATTCTTTGCCTAACTGTCCTCTAGAATCTTTTCTTCTGTTTCCTTGATCGCAAGATGCTTTTCAAACCTGAAGTTAATATAGCAAAAAAACCCAAAATATTTTTGCACTAGAAACAGTTTGTAAAGAACAGCTCCCTTGTTCTCCTGTTCTGAAGCCCACTGCAGTGGAAAAACTGGATTCTTCTGGAGTCTGTATAGTAAACATCAATTGCTTCAAAAATTATACCCTGCAACAAGAGCAGTAGGCTGAGAGTGAGTGTTGAGGTGATGTGAAACTAAACAGTCTAGAAGGGGAGGAGGGAGTTCCACACTACCATTCCCAGGTCTCCCATTTTTACCATGATGGGCAAGGAAATAATAACTCCACCGTTTAGTATCAAAATCTCTACTGTTTTTTGGATGCTGTCCCAGCTTGTAACTTACTGATGCCAGGGTTCGAGCTGTACTCAAATCAACTCCCAAACATTTACCTTTCTTTAAGGAAACACCTAACTGCAAAATAAAATGGATGTTAAAAAAAAGGAAAGAAAAAACCCACAAATTAATCTAATATAAAGCACACTCTTCAGATCCTGTTGTATTGGCTTTGGAAATTGTTTCCTCATGGAAATTTCAAAGAGCTGTATACTCAAGAATGTGACCAGAATTTACAGCTGATCAGATTAACCCACAGGAATCAAGAATTTATTTATCTGAGAGGCTTAATGGGAGTCTGACAGGCTAGTAGGGTGGTTGTTTTTTGCTGCACTGATCATTGGTAAGAATTTATGCTCTAAGGTATTTTTCAAAGTTCATTAAGAGACTACTTCTTTCCTTAACCTTCATCAGCATGAAGGTAGCATACATTGAAAAATGTGAAGAGAAGCTGGAGCAGTGGGGGAACATTCCAATGTACCAGACAAACTCAGATGCAGAGTAGTATTTCAGCCTGTCCATAGTGAACCTAGGCACATAAGAAAGTGACTGAAGTCCCTCAAATTCATAAAAATACAGCTGTTTACGGCTGTTAGTGATGTGTCTTGTAATCTGGGAAAATTCTGCTCAGTCATCCAAGAGTTGCTTTCCTATGCTGATGGTGGTGTAAATATTCAGAAACACCCTAACACTTCTGCCAATACTTGAATCCCATTATTTGAAGCAAGGAGATAGTAATAAATACTGATTGTGCTGTGCTGTGTTAATGGTAACAATGTACTTTACTCTCAAGAAAAAATCTGGCAACTGTCACAGTATTACATGTACAAAAACTTTGGCTGAGAATTACTACTGGGAAAAACAACAAAGTGATGAAGCATAGTTCAACTTTGAGTATTTGCTGATCAACGATCCCATGTGGCGATATTGCAGTTAGGCAGACTGTCCTTTTTCTTTCCCTCTGATTCCTTCCCAGGCTTCCATTGTGCTATACTTTCATCACTGTTTTCTTTTCCTCAGATCATTCCTGCCATGTGTTTTCCTGTTTTCTGTTAAGTTTTCTCTAGTCTTTCTACTTTTTCATCATGTTTTTGTAAACATCCACATACTATCATTTGTAAGACCTTTTATTGACTGGTTGTTGTTTATAAATATTAATGGATGGTTCCTTTGTCTAAACAGTCTTCTTTTCAAAGGCAGATGAGCTACTTCCCTCAAAATTCTATTTATTATTTTTCCAGTCATTCTAAATGAAAGTTACAAATTTGATTTCTGTTCCACATTTGTGTTACTTGTATAAACTAGCTCAAAGTCTTTCAGCTTTCTCTCCATATTTTTAAACGCAAAAAATAGTGTAAATAATGTTTTGTGAAGGATACCAGTTGGGAAAATCAGAATACATAAAACTACCTTGTCAGTTTTTTCTGTAGTTTGCAATTGGAAGATATGCACACTATCTGGAAACTTAGACTTCTGAGGGATTTTATTTTGCAAGGGATGTGTAATTAAGAAAATTTCATTAGTAATAAGAGTTATCATTCCATGTTTATATTCTTGGAGTGGGTCTCACTAAGCACAATTTTATTCAAACACCTATTTAAGAGGATGGTCCTTGTTGCAGAGGAACAGCTCTCTTCCTGATGAGGAAAATGTTGCTAGACTACAAGAAGAATTGATTGCAGTAAAACTCAGAGAAGCAGAAGCTCAGATGGGTCTTAAAGAACTAAGGCAGCAAGTCAAAGATCTGGATGAACACTGGCAGGTATGAGCAGCAATACACTTAACTTTTTCAGTGAATTATGATAAAGGAAAAGGCTATGAAATTTTTTAGATGTAGAGATATCAACTAGAAACTCTAGTGATTGTGGATCAAATGACTGAAGAGAGAAAATTTTTAAATGCAGCTGCCACAATAAACTTTACTTCAAAAGTAAGTTAGAAATTATACTCTAGTTGTGAAAGCTGGCAGAGGCAGCCTGTGCTACTAGCTCACCATTCTGGTAGACAGGAAGTACTGATCAGTACTCCAACTTCACTAAATATTAGTAAGGGCTAGAAGCAGGCAGAAGTCTTAGGACACACTTGAAATTCACTGACTTACTGTAGTTAGGAATTACTGTCTTCAGCTTTTAAATTCTGTTTTTAAAATTAGTAAGTCTGCATGGGTTTCTAGTTTTTAGAACAGGACGACTATAGCAACTTGTCTGCATGTAACTCTGAGACCTTAAATGAAATAAGGGAACACCAGGAAAGATGAGTGTTAACAGCAATGGCTTGCTTATTGTTCTAGCGTCACCTAGCTCGTACCACTGGAAGATGGAAAGATCCTCCCAGAAAAAACACAGTGAATGAGCTACAGGATGAGCTGATGACAGTCCGATTGAGAGAAGCAGAAACTCAGGCTGAACTGAAAGAGACCAAGCAAAGAATGATGGAGATAGAAACACAGGTATGTTATTGAACACTGGCATGTGTGAATTGAGCTGAACACTGGCAACTTGGTGTCAAATGGTAGATACCTGATGATGGTCTTTTACCATCCAGAGGCATGACTTCAGTTCCAAAATGTGCCTTCTAAAATTACATTAGACTAGGAGGGAGAATCTTGTGCATGTAGTCCAACTTCACTTTAATGTCTTCACTTTACTGTTTGCCAGGACTAAGCCTTTTGAATTTCTCCTTTGGACTAATTCATAGACTCTGAATGCTTGTGAATCTTAAAACTGTTGTAGCAACAGAAGTGCATTTAAGGTTTTTTAGGCTTCACAAACCTAATTGAGTCTGATAATAGTAATTCTAATTCTTTAAATGGCAGTATTTTCTTCTAGTGAAATTGCCTATACTAGACTATCTACTGAGGTTATAAATCTGCTTGCTGTCAGGTTTTTTACCAGAAGCTTTACCTTTCAAGTTCCAGAAAAGGAAAGCATGACTCACCACTGCTGAGATTTGTGTGGAAAAGACAAAAATAACTTGTCTGTCATGATCTTTTTTGTAACTAGGGAATAAGTTATTACTAAGCAAAAAAATCTGAAATGAAAGTGTACTAAAGTTTGAGTCCAGGTTTTATTAGCCAACTCTCAACCGAATCAGTAAGCACAATGTGCTGTTGATTGAGAAGAATTTCTAACAGGCTTTTGAGAAATCTTCCTATGAAATATCTGCTAACTGTAACTGTTACTTGAAGGAGACCTGTGCATCCAGAAGGCTGAACAAACAAACTTGTACTTGACAAGCTTTAGCAATCCCAGAAACCAGGAGAGCACATAAGGATGTGCAGCTGAGGAGAGATGACCGAACTGCAAGGCACATGCTGGCTTACTTCTGACAGAGGCACCACTTTTTCTATACCAACTAAATAAAAGCTTTCTCTTGCTTTAACTCTTACAATTTTCATTGAAGTGTTAATACTGTTTCACTAAAGTTAAGGTGTGCTTTTGTTTTGTTCCTTTTTCCTCATCTGTGTATTTATTTTAGTCGGTAGGGGGCACAGATGTCCTGCTGTCTGGATTACACATTTTAAAGTCACCAGACCTTTAGGTACTTCTCACTTCAGTGTTATGCATTCAGTCTTTTTATCTGTTTATAATTTTTAGCTTTCATTAGGCAGAATGCAGTTGTTCTTGTGTTGTGCACTAATCTATGCACAGCTTAATGTAAAAATGGTGTGACTTGTACTAATGCAGTGACCTTAATTAAGGTGCCATGTTACTTTCACGAGTCCACTGGACTGAAAAATGTGCACATAGTATTTCTGACATCTTGAATGCATCAGCTTGTTGCTGTAGTTGGAATACAAGTTCCCAAAATCTTTGCCTTACCTAAGCAAGAGACTGGGAAAAACATACGTCAGGAGCTTTGTAATAATGGTCTTACAATGAGTCATCTGTTGTTTGAGAACAGTTTGAATATCCTACACATAAACCAAATGTCTTGCAAACTTTCCTGATTACACTTGGAAAATTCTGAATGCTTTCCCATTGGAAGTTTTTTATCATAAATTATCTGTAAGTCTTTCTTGTCAGAGTTTGGGGAGTTAATACCTTAGCATGCATTATCTTTCCTTTTTTTATTATAAATTTCAGAACCAGATCAATAGCAACCATTTACGAAGGGCAGAGCAAGAGGTTACCAACCTACAGGGGAAGGTACAGTACCTTTCTGCTCAGAACAAGGGACTTCTTGCTCAACTGAATGAAGCAAAACGTAGACAAGCAGAGACTGAATGCAAGGTAAACAACATTGTGAATAGACTGTTTGTGTGCTAATGTAGATGTACTTTTTAGTCTTGTTCACTATTGTTGGTTAGAATTGTGTCTTAACTGAGAAGTAGAAATCACAAAACCAAAACTTTCTTTTACTGAAATAACAGTATCATCTTGAATTTACCATCTCACAGACTTATTCGCGGTTTTGACAGAGTTTCTTCTTTGCAGTTCCACAAAGATAAACCTTTTATTTAAGGGGTGGTTCTACTTAGAGTGTATAATAGAAAAAGATATTCTTACATAAACAGATTCTGATCTCTGCATACTGTTATCTTTAGTGACAGAAGAGGTTCATTCCTTCAATGCTGACTATTATTGCAGAATTAGGTTAGGTTTGAAAAAAGGGAATAAAAGTAGCATTTGAATGGAGAAGTCTACAGAAGGGAATGTTGCAGTTGTTATTACCTAATAGCAAACAGACTTGAAGAGGAGGGCCAAAAAACACTGGCAAAAGAGTTCTTACTGGCAATTCACAAAAAAGAGCCAAATTTGATGTTTGAATCTCAGATTTTTAGATAGTTAAATTTTGTAACTAAATTGATAACCTCTTGCTAATAACTTTTGTCTTTAACTTATGCACACATAATGGCTTAGCATAAGTCTTAGAAGCTTTTTTCTTTTAACTTGGATGAAAATTTTCCTGAAATTGCTATTTACATTTACTTCAAAAAAGGGCAGCATTAGTTGACAAATCACTGTAGTTAAAATATTTGCTAGACACATGAAGATAATTTTAAATTTAAAACTTACTTTGAAAATATGTATGAATAGTCTTTTATTAAATCAGTCAATACTGAACAGTCAGTAATTTCTAAATTAAATACTTATTAGTATGTTTAAAATAGCACAGTAATATGAATAATCAAAATAGTATTTCTTGAACTCTGGCTGTGAAATGGCAACTTGAGAGCAGGTTCTGTTATATAATGTGTTACTCATTATCACATCTTAGTTTTGCCTTTAATGTAACCAAACCTTTATGTGCACTACATGTTTCTATTCCCATTTGTGCAGAACAGTGTTGGTTGTGTGGTCTTTTTTCAGTTTTATCCATGTATTTTGCCTGTAACACCACACATCCAAAAAGTTTCACCTTCATCTCTGTAAATCTAGCAGTTTGCATCTCTCATACTGCTTATTTGGCAACTGTTTCAGCCACTGGTGTTTACTGTTATTTTTTTCCCCTTTTAATCTGACTGTTGCTTCTACAGCAAGAACTTAATTTCAAATTGTTCTTTGAAACACAGCACTGATCCTTCTGATCAGTTTTGCTGAAGAATTTGCAACATAAGATTGATGCTCCTGCCCCTGTCCCATCTTTCCTACTATATGAACTTCTGTGGTAATTACTGAGAACCTGCTCTGTTTCAGAGATACAGCATCAGTGCTATCTAGGGCAATGCTATCAAGTCATCTCAGAGACCAAGTTCCAGTCTGTCCTGTAGCTTTCAGTTAAATATATGCAATCCTGTGGACTTGTGGGTTTGGCTTCATTCAAGCAATCATGCAGCAGAATTTAGCAATAATGGCTCAGCTTTGGCTAGCACACTATGGATTCTGCTGAAATGGACTGTACTGATTACAAATACTGTTAATTGGATCATGTAGCTAATGTGCCTTCATTATAGAAAGATTTTTTTAAAACAGCATGTTTTCAAGTAGCTACTATAGATAAGCTTTGGCATGTTCTATTTGGTCTCAAACAGTCTAATGAAGAGTGGTTAAGTACTGTTAATTTGAAGCACATATTAAAATAACTGAAACACTGGAACTCATTTGCAGTAACTACAGTTTGCGGAGTTACACTAGTCTGCCATAAAAGTAAATGTACCTGAGCTGAGTCTCTCCTCCAGAATTATTTGTACTCTAGCTGAAAGTATTGCACACTCAGTATATATCACTGTTTTCTCTCTGTGGTTGTACCAAGCTGGCAATATAATAGTTTTGTACTCTGAAGTTTTGAGGACTTGCCTCATAAAACAGAAATAAGGAAATTTCCTTCTAACTTGTCTGGACTCAAATAATTTATCATTTATAGGCAAACTTACAAGTTAAACTTACACCAGGAGCCTGTAGGTTGCAGGCATTGCAATTTTATTCCAAACTGTCTTTCACATCTTTGTTGTGTACTGTGATTGAGACAGCTAGACTTAAAAGAGGTTGAATATATCTGCTTTTGTGTTTGTTTTTTAATGTAATGTTTTAGACAATGATGAAATGTGTAACTCTTGTGGAGCTTGGCTGTTTCTTATATAAAGTCAAAAGCTGAAACAGCTGATTTTTTGTTATCTTAATACTTTTAATTTACAAGACAACATTTCTGAAACACAAGACAGCTGCTTTCTGGACTGGGAAATATGATAACAGCATGTTTTCAAAACTACACAGATTTTTTTAGATTATTACAGTTTAGAATTGATATTAAAGTATTACACAGTTCTATGGGTTAAGATTAAACGTAGGTTCTTTAGAATATGCCTTATCTATGGGTATGATATTTCACATAGCAGTGTATGAAGGTTTTTTTACTTACATGATTTTGGGTAAAAGCAGTGCACAGTCTTTAATCAACTAAAACTGGTATTATTTGCTAGCTTCAATTGATTACTTCTTTCAGAGTAAAGAAGAAGTGATGGCAGTACGGCTCCGAGAGGCTGACCGCATTGCTGCTGTGGCTGAGCTCCAACAGCATATCGCTGAATTAGAAATCCAGGTAACGAGTGATGGCATTAAATGTGTAACATAGTATTCATTACTTTTTGTACTTGTTTTTTGTCTTCCTCCACTTTATTTCCTTATCAATCTATTTTGAATACAAGGCACTAGTTTACAAAGTGGGATAACTGCTGAATACATATGGGATATATTGCTAAATTTGCTTCCTTTAAAAGCAAAGGCCTTAAAACTATCCTATGGGCGTACTTGTACTCTGTAGTCTGTTTTTCCTCTACTTATACTGGTGTCCTGTCACAATTCTGCTGTGCCTATTTGCGAAGTTTTCCTTGGATATTCTTCCTAAGTTACAAGCTAGTTACTTTTTTAAAAAAAAACTGTTATTGCTACTGTCTTCCCTCCACAATCTTTCCTTCAAGGTGATGATGGTGGAAGGAAGAAGTTGACACTTTGTGGAAGAGGGGATTTGTCACTTGGGTAAACTCGAGGAACATTGTCAGGGTATGTAGGAATACAACAAGGAAGGCCAAAGCCCTCTAAGAACTAAATCTGGCAAAGGAAGTAAAAGAGAACAGGAAAGGCTTCTTCAAATACATCAGTGTTAAAAGGAAGAGCAGGGAAAATGTGGGCCCACTGCTGAATGAGGTGGGAGCCCTGGTGACAGAGGTTGCAGAGAACGCAGAATTACTAAATACTTTCTTTGCTTCAGTCTGTACTCGTAAGACCAGCCCTTGTGAACCCCTGGAAGTAAAAGAGCCTGCAGGAAAGAAGGACTGTCCACTGATCAATGAGGATGGGGTTAGAGATGAGTTGGGTAAACTGAATATACACAGATCTATGGGCATGTTTGCATGTTTGCTGATGATACAAAGTTGGAAGGATTCTCTGATTCACCAGAAGGCTGTGCAGCTATTCAGCAAGATTTGGACAGACTGGAGAGCTGGGCAAAAAGGAACCTGATGAGGTTCAACAAGAGCAAATGCAGAGTCCTGCACCTGGGGAGGAGTAACACCGTGTACCAGTATAGATTAGGAGCTGACCTGCTAGAAAGCAACTCTGTGGAGAAGGACCTTGGAGTCCTGGTGGAAAACAAGTTATCCATGGGACAACAATGTGCCCTTGTGGCCAAGAAGGCCAATGGAATCCTGGGGTGCATTAAGAAGAGTGTGTCCAGCAAGTCAAGGCAGGTTCTCCTCCCCTTGCACTCTGCCCTGGTGAGACCACACCTGGAGTACTGTTCTGGACTCCCCAGTTCAAGAGGGACAGGGATTTACTTGAGAGAGTCCAACGGAGGGTTATGAGGATGATCTGTGTTATGAGGAAAGGCTGAGAGACCTGGGACTGTTTAGTCAAGGGAAGACTGAGAGGGCATCTTATTAATTTTTACAAATATCTGAAAGGTGGGTGTCAAGAAGGAGGAGCCAATCTCTTTTTAGTCATGCCCTGTGATAGGACATGGGGCAATGGACGTAAACTAGAACATAGGAAGTTCTATCTCAACGTGAGGAAAAACTTCTTTACTGTGAGGGTTACAGAGCATTGGAACAGGCTCCCCAGAGATTTTGGAGTCTCTTTCTCTGGAGGCTTTCAACACCCATCTGGATGCGTTTCTGTGTGACCTGCCTTAGGTGGTCATGCTCTGGCTGGGGGGTTGGACTTGATGATCTCCAGAGGTCCCTTCCAACCCCTAACATTCTATGATTCAATGATTTTAATTTTTTGTGTCAAAGCCTTTCTTTCCCCACAAGTTCTCAACTACTTGCACCTTTTTCATCTCTGCATACATATATGTGCATGCATTTGTACGTATGAAATGTACAAATAAATCTAATAGAGCTTACATAAAGAATTTTCACTTTGAATATTTTTCCTCTACTGCAGCAGCCTCTAAATTTATTACAAGATAAAGCAATCATTTCTTTTAATCACGTAATGCTTAGATAATGCTGTGATCAGTACACTAGAAATACTTAGATAAGTACAGTAAGCATCACATATGAATCATTTATCACCTAATCAGATAACAGAATAGCTGAGTTTAGATCAATCTTCTACTAACGTGTGAGCATTTTACTAAAAAAAAAAAGCTTAAAGGTTATTTCAAACAATATGATTTTGTAGGTGAGGAGCCAGTAGTCATTTTGCATTTTTACTTTATCACAGACTTTAAGTGCCATCCTGCTTCTATTGTTTGACTGATACGAGTCTCCCAAAAAGTACTCTAGTCTTGATTTTATGAAATGAAGAAATGGTGAACCCCATAATGGTCAGTTGTTTTTTCCAATAGTTGTCATCCAGTTAGAACTGTGTTAATTTTTTAATGTAAATAGATCTGACTTGGTTTTATGTTGTTTGATCATTCATCAGTGATTCTACAGCTATTTCCTATTCCCGTTCCATATTTCTGCTTAAGCTATGGGTGCTAAAATTGCATGCAGATTTTTAGAATATCTTGTCATGAGACGAGGAACCTAGTGTATTTCATGTCTCTGGCTAATACAGCCAAAGATTACACTGTCTTTGTTTTGTCATGATATTGCGCTGTTTCATATTTGGTTGTTTATCCACATCATCTCTCCTTCCTTTTCACAATTACAGCTTTGCATAATGCAATCCAGTTACGTTTTTCTGTTTTTCTGATATTCTACTTGGTCTTGTTTTTTGATTCCTGCTAAACTGCATTTCAAGTTCCAATTTATTTGGTGTTCTTGCATGATCACCTGTTAATTATTTATTGATCTGTAGTCTCTTGTTCTTTATTTTCTGCACAAATGAGAAGGTGCTTTCTTTGTACATAGCCTGAAGTATGAGGTCATTCTGCAGCTGTGACTAATGTTTTGAATTCAATGAGTTTGTCCTTTTAGGCTTTTGGTGAAGTATTAAACTTATACTAGCCTGAAATATGACTTAGTTGTGAAATACAGGCTTTGAGTGTTAACTGACCAATTACATTTACAACAAAAGTTTGATTTAGTAGAAATAAGTTCCTCTAATGTCAATTTCCTTATTTTTGAAACTTTAGATATGTCTTGAAATGCTTGTATTGAGCTGTGACAGATTTTTTTTTAAAGCTTATGTAAGCAAATTGATATTTTTGACCTGTATGTTTTGACAGCTAGCAAATATGAAAATTATGATCAAAAGTTCCTTTTTGGGTACTCATGCTCAAAGGCCTCTGAAACACCTGCACCAAAAAAAAGTAGTAATGGAGCTGGAAAGCCTTAACTCCTAAAGCTTGTAAACTGTAAAACTTGCAACTGATACTAGAGCTTAAACAAAGCTGCTTTTTAAGGAAACTGAAAATCTAGATAACTTCTTCCTCTTCTTGAAGAACTGACTCTCCCCTTTTCCATTCAGCTGGTCACTGGAATTGCTGTGGGTAGCAGAGGGCTTTTTAATCCAGACTTGCCTTAACAACTTGAAATGTAATATTGAATACCATAAGCACACTTAGCCAATCTTGAAGTGTAGGTGTCAGTCTCAAAGTAACTTTGCTTTTAACATGGAGCATCAGAAATAGGTCTGCCTGTCATATTGTTTCAAAGCTGATAAAGATGAAGGGAGGAAGTTAACTTACCACATAACCTTCCTTTTTTTTGAGGGGGTGGTGCTTTTCTAAGAAGCTCTAGGGATTCAGTACCAGGTCCCCATGGTCCATAGCAAGGCTTAACCTAAATTTTGCAGTTTTCTTTTAAATGTTCATGTAGGTGTAGGTGAAAGACACTGGTGATAAATGTGTAACACAGAGTACCACTACTCCCACATAGGAACTGATCTCACGTTACATACATAAATGGTAGATTTAAATCTCAGTTTCTGGGTCACTCTTAGTTTTGGCTAGTAATAATGGCAGAGAGGGAGAAGATCACTTAATAGTAGATGTAATTCTGCAGCAAGTTGTCAGTTTATTATGATGGTAGGAAATTATTTTTTATATATTCTGAATGTCATCTTATCTTAGGCATTCAATCCCTGATCTTTTACACTTTTGTTTAGGCATATAGCAGTGCAAAGAATAGTCCAATACATGATGGATATTCTTAAAGGAAAAGTATAAGTTGTTCCTTAGCAAAAATAACACAAAACTGAAGCTTAACTTATGTTGCATATATCTAAGCCCCAGAAGTGACAAATCCCCTGGACAGACTGGAGGAGTGGGCTAGCAGAAACCTTATGAAGTTCAACTGGGAGAAGTGTAAGGTCTTGCACGTAGGAACACATAAACCAGGAGCACAATTCAGACTGGGATTCACCTGGCTGGAGAGCAGCCCTGTGGAAAGAGACCTGGGGATCTTGGTGGATAATAAGCTCAACATGAGTGAGCAGTGTGATGCAGCAGCAAAGAAAGCCACAAGGGCATCAGCAGCAGAGATAAAGAAGTCATCGTCCCGCTATACTTGGCTCTTGTCAGACCACACCTGGAGTATTGTGCTTTACAAAAAGGATGCAGACAGGCTGGAGAGCGTCCGGAGAAGGGCCACAAGGATGATCAGAGGACTGGAGGTCATGCCATGTGAGGAGAGGTTGAGAAAACTGAATTTGTTCAGCCTTGATAAAAGAAGCCTTATGGGAGACCTTATTACAATGTTCCAGTACTTACAGGGTGGCTACAAAGAAAATGTAGATTGCCTATTTACAAGGAGTCATGTGGAAAAGACAAGGAGTAATGGGCATAAGTTGCTCCTGGGGAGATTCCAGTTAGACAGAAAAGGTAAATTTTTCACCAGGAGGACAATCAAACATTGGAATAGTCTCCTAAGGGAAGTGATAAATTCCCCCACATTGGGCAATGTTAAGTTTTGGCTTGACAGGGTGCTGAGCCATGTCATATAAACTATAATATTAACTAAAAAGGTTGGACCAGATGATCCTTGAGGTCCTTTCCAACCATTCTATGATTCTGTGAATTCAGTTACAAGCTAGAGTTAATCAGCTGGCTAGGGTAAGGTGTGCTAGGCCAGTAGAAGTGTAGACAGACTGAGGAATCGGAGCTGGGGTAGCTGCAGTCACTGCTCTGCAGCTTTTAAGAGCTCTTCTACC